GGTTTTTTAAACTTCTTTGTGTTTGTTTTTTCTGTCTCCCCTATTAGATTTAAAACACTTGAGAATGGAGATCTTGGTATATTTTCCTACAGATCTTAGTATAGTGTCTGCACAGATATCTTATGCTTTCTCAAGAACAAAAATCCAAACACGTATGTGTGTGTTTATGACATGATGTTACAATGAGTGACGGTTACTAATTTAGAAACAATTTCATTGTACTTAAACCAGGAAAAAGAAAATCAAGATCTGTTAGATAGATTTCAGATGCTTCATAACCGTGCTGAAGACTGGGAGGTTAAAGCCCATCAAGCTGAAGGAGAAAGCAGCTCAGTTCGACTCGAACTTCTTTCTATTGACACTGAGAGGAGACACCTTCGGGAAAGAGTGGACCTATTAGAAAAGGAAATTCAGGAGGTAATGCGTTCATTTTATCTTGTAAAGACATGATTTAGTAAAGAAGAAAATGTTCAAAGGCACTTTATTGAAGTGGCCTAATTGTACACATTGATAAAATCAAGTTCTAATGGTAAATTTTTTTGGTATTGACTCTGATAATTTCCTTAGGAGCCTCATTACTTTTCAATATGAATTTTCTCCTGTTAATTTAACTACAATCTTGCTTTTGACTCATCCCTTTCCATTTGCTAACTTCATTGGAGTAGGGGTTTTTAATTAGCTATAATGCTTCCTTTTTAAATCAACTTTATTGACATATCATTTTCATACAGTAAAATATACCCATTTTAAGTGTACAGTATGATGAGTTTTGACAAGTGCCTATGGCCATGGAATCTCCACCAGTATTAAGGTGTAGAAGACATCCCCACAAGAAGCTTCTTAGTGTTCCTTTTACAGCCAGTCCCCTCATCACCCTGGGCCCCCAGGCAACCATGGCTCTGCTTTCTTTCACTAAAGATTAGTTTTCCTTGTTCTTAAATATCATATAAGTGGAATCATACAGTTTGTTTTCTTTTATGTCTGGCTTCTTTGGCTCAACATAATGTATTTGAGGTTTATCCATGTTGTTGCATGAATCAGAAATCTGTTGTTTTTACGAAGTTGTATTCCACTGTATGGATATGTTCACAATTTGTTTATCCATTTGCCTGTTGATGAATATTTGGGTTGCTTCCAGTTTTGGGCCATTATGAGTAGAGCTGCTATAAATATTCAGATACAGGTTTTTGTGTGGGCTTATATTTTCTTTTGGGTAAATACCTAGGAGTAGAATTGCTATATCATAATATGTTTAGTTTTGAAAAAGACTGCCAGAACTTTCCTCTAAGTTTTACCATTTTACATTCCCTCTAGCAATATATGAGAGTTCTAGTTGCTCCACATCTTCTTCCACCCATGGTATTATGTGTCTTAAAAATTTTAGTTGTTGTTGTTAGTGTGCAGTGGTGTCTCATTGTGGTTTTAATTTTCATTTCTCTGATAGCTAAGAGTGTTTAGCATCTTTTACATACTTACCGGGAATTTGTAAATTTTTTGTGAAGTATGTGTTCAAATTTTTTTCCTTTTATTTGTGTGGTGTCTTCTCATTACTTAATTTAATGCTGGATGAAAGTACTCTGTCAGATGTATAGATTGTGAATTGTGAATATTTTCTTCCGGTTTGTGGTTGCCTTTTCTTAGTGATGTCTTTCAAAGAAAATTTAAATTTTGATGAAGTCTAATTTAATCATTTTTTATTCTTGTATAAAAATTTTAAAAAGTTGCCATTGAGTTGATTTCAACTCAGAAATGTGCTCCATAGGGTTTTCAGTGGCTGAATTTTTAGAAGTAGATCTCCAAGTCTCCCGAAGTGCTCTGGGTGGACTCAAACCTCCAACTTTTTGGTTAGCCACAGAGTACATTAACCATTTGTCCCACTAGTTGGTACCTATTTAAGAAATATTTGCCTACCCCAAGGTTACAAAGATTTTCACCTACATTTCTAATAGTGGTTTTATAGTTTTGGCTCTACATTTAGGCCTGTGATCTATTTTGAGATAATTTTTGTGTATGGTGTGAGGCATGTGTTGAAGTTCATTTTGTTCCATAAGGCTATTTATTTCTATCATTTGTTGAAAAGACTCTTCCCCATAAAGTTGATATTCTCCCCCATTTAATTACTTAGGCACCTTTGCCAAAAATCAATTGACTATATATATATGTGGGTCTATTCTCTGTTTTGTTCCATTGATCTAAATGTCTCTTCTAGAGCCAATGATATACTTTCATAATCACTATAGCTTTAAATCATGAAATGGGGTAGTTTAAGTTCTGCAACATTGTTATTCTTTTTGAAGATTGTTTTGGCTATTCTATATTGTTTGTATTTTCATATAAATTTTAGAATCAGCGTCTTAATTTCTATGAAAAAAACCACTTGAATTTGATTGGTTATTGCATTGAATCTGTAGATCATTAAGAACTGACTTCTTAACAATATTGCGTCTTCCAGTCCATGAGCATAGTATACTTATTTATATATTTGTTGTTGTTGTATGTTGTCAAGTCGATTTTGACTCATAATAACCCTGTATAGCAGAGTAGAACTGCCCCATTTCTGGGCTGGGAACAGATCTCCATGTATTTCTTCTGCAGAGCCACTTGGTTGGTTCAAACCACCAAGCTTTCACTTAGCAGCCAAGCACTTAACCACTGCATCACCAGGACTCCTTAAAGCTTTGTTCTAGTAGGTTTAAAGTAGACTTTACGCTAGCACTAGCTTAGCCTTGTTATTAAGGCATGACCTTTCTAGTGTCTTTACTGAGCGCTCTGGGTACAGGTCTGTCTACCCTGACTAATTAGAATCCAGATGTCTGCCGGTCTGTGTGAGCTCGGGGAATTGTTCAGCTCTCAGATATTTCTCTTTGCCAGGCCTCATGGAGTTTACATATGTGTACCTTCGAATTCAGCTGAGGATTGAAGGGATCCAGTGCAGATTTCTGAAGCTTTTTTTCTGTGTTGCTCCCCTCTGTGTGATACTCTGTTCCACAAATTTCTTGGCCTCTATGAACTCCTATATCTATTTCACATCAGTGAATGTTGTGCTCTGCTTGGTTTCCCTGTCATGTCCTACAGCCTGTAAAGGGCCTCCAGGCAGAAAGGTCCTCTTAAGGTTCGCCTCATTTGTTTCTCTTCTTTGAAAGATCAGTGTCTTGTGCTTCTTGTCCAATTTCTGAAAACAAGTTAAAAAAATATGTGCATATATATATTTACACACATACATAAATAAGTATATATTTTTGTTTATTTATACATATATGTATTTCCATTTTCTAGTAAATTACCATGGGAGGAAAAATCAATACCGAGTACTCCATCATGGTCAGAAGTGGAAATGCTTTATTCAGTTCTGATTTCTTTAGGTCTTTGTCTGGTTTGTTCATCTCTGCTTCTCTTCCCAGTGCCTATAAAATAAATATTTTAACATTGAGCTGCTAGCTAATGGCATAGTAAAGTGTCCCTGAATCTTATGAATGACAATTTATAGAGAAAAAGTATATATTTAGTTTTAAAACTTGGTCTTTGGCACAGAGACATTGCTCAAAAATATTTGCTGAATGAATTTATTGAACTTCTATACAACAGGTACTGTTCAAACATAGAGTAGGGAAGAAGACAGAAATCCTTACAGAGCTTATAATCTAATTAAAAATCCAGTGAGTCATGAAACTATATCCAGTCCAGTCGGGGGGAGGGGGGCCAAAAATGATTGCCAAATTTGGGGACTTATATGAGACTGGATAGATCTGGACTGTAATAGACCTAATAAGATTGCTGGAGCATGGTATAGAACTTACTCCTCACTTACATATCAGCAAATGTAGCTCTCCTTTGACACCATGTAGTGCCAGTAACACATACTAGGTCAATGGGTGTCAAACTGCGGGCCTTGAAATCAAGTTAGTGGCATTTTATATTGTTTACAAAAAAATTTTTTGTTGTATAAATAATATATTTGAGATTAACTTTGTTATTTTATCACACATACTAAAAGGTAAATTGTTTTGTGAAACTTGTAGATCTATGTGTATAAATACATGCAGGTATACATTGGGAGCATTATTATGCCTCTTATTATTGTTACATTAAAAAATATTGCTATTACCATGGTCTCGGGGAACATCTAGCTCAATTGGTATGACACAGCTTATAAAGACAATGTTCTACATTCTGCCTTGGTGAGTAGCGTCTGGGGTCTTAAAAGCCTGTGAGCGGCCATCTAAGATACTCCACTGGTCTCATCCCTTCGGGAGCAAGGGAGAATGAAGAGAACAGGATACAAGGAAAAGATTAGTCCGAAGGACTAATGGACCACAGCTACCAAGGCCTCCACCAGACTGAGTCCAGTACAGCTAGATGGTGCCCGGCTACCACCACTGACTGCTCTGACCAGGATCACAACAGAGGGTTCTGGACAGAGCTGGAGAAGGATGTAGAACATAATTCTAATTCACAAAAAAAAGACCAGATTTACTGGCCTAAAGAAGACTGGAGAAACCCCGAGAGTATGGCCCCCAGACACCCTTTTAGCTCAGTGGTGAAGTTATCTCCAAGGTTCACCGTTCAGCCTGGGAGTAGACAGCCCCGTAAAAGCAAGTCAGACTAACGAGGTACAGTAGTCCAATGACAAGGGCCAGAAGACAGAAGGGGACAAGGAAGCTGGTGATAGGGAACCCAAGGTTGAGTAAGGATATTGTTGATGTGAGATTGTTAACCATTGTCATAGGGCAACATTTGTAGTAACTGTTAAATGAGAAACTATTTTGTTCTGTAAGCCTTCATCTTAAGTGAGAATAACAGCACAATTGGAAGAGCATAGTCAATGTCACTGAACTGTGCGTGTAGAAATTTTTGAAATGGTGTATCTTTGGCTATGCATATTTTCCCAAAAAAAAAAAAGGTTGAGAAGTTAGAGGGTTGACATGTTGTGGGGTTGTTAACCAATGTCATAAAACAATATGTGTACTACTGTTTCATGAGAAACTATTTGTTCTGTAAGCCTTCCCCTGAAGTACAATAAAAAAAAAAAAAATTGCTATTCTAGGAACCAAAACCCAAAACCAAACCTGTTGCGATCGAGTCCATTCTGACTCATAGCAACCCTATATGACAGAGTAGATCTGCCCCATAGGGTTTCCAAGGAGCGGCTGGTGAGGAAATTGATGACACTATTCCTTCTCTCTTTAAAACAAGTTAATATGCTTATGATATGATTTTATTTAATGAAAATAGAGGTTTTTCTATTGAGTTATATAAAGCTTGAGAATCTTAAACAAGCTCTTGTCATAAAGACAATCTGATAAAAATCTCTTAATACAATTTGGAGTTCAGTTAAAATATAGAAATCCTGGATTTAATTAGGAGCCCTGGTAGCACAATGGTTAAGAGCTTAGGCTGCTAACCAAAAGGTTGGCAATTCAAGTCCACCAGCCACTCCTTGGAAACCCTACGGGGCAGTTCTACTCTATCCTATAGGGTCGCTATGAGTTGGAATCGACTTGACAGCAATGGGTTTGGTTTTTTGGATTTAATTAATATAGAATATTGACTGTTGGTTTTGTTTTGTTTTATTGGTATAATTTTGTAGTCTTCATTTTTTTCAGGAGAAGTATTGACTGTTTCTACAAACATTTTCTATTAAAAAGAACGTAATAATGAAAGGAATGTTTTCTCACCTTCAAAAGAATTCCTCAGAAGAAACCAAAAAAAAACCAAACCCGTTGCCCTCTAGACGATTCCAACTCATAGCGATCCTGTAGGGCAGGGTAGAACTGCCCCATAGAGTTTCCAAGGAGCGCCTGGAGAATTCGACCTGTTGGCCTTTTGGTTAGCAGCTGTAGCTGTTAACCACTACGCCACCAGGGTTTCCCATCCTCAGAAGAAACAGCCCTTTAATTCTTTTGTTCTTTATCATTGTTCATATTCTTATGTTGTATGTGAAATTTGTTTTTGCCTATTTTTATTTAGTTTGTTTTGGGGAAATTTAATTCATTAATATTTGGAATATTCACCTATTTACTTCCTGAAACTGTTGACATTTACTAAATCTTCACAGCACAGATTTTTAATGTTGATTAAAATAATTCCATTTTTCAAGTGCGGAATTGTTCCCAAAACCTAGAAGTAGAGTTTATATGAGTTTATATTTATTACTTAGTTGTGAGGAATTTGAAATGTGGATAATTCTGGAAAGTGAAATCTTTATCAGTATTTCACATTTTGTGCTCATTTCAAATTTATTAAAATTTTATGATATTGTATATTTACTAAGTTAAATAAAATTTATATGTGACTTCAGGTATTTAGTTTTATATGTATGAAACTCTGAATTTATACTAAAGACAAGTGGGGAGTGATAAGTATGTATATTTTTCTGCAAAAGGCATGATTATAACAAAAAAAAATTATAAAGGAAGAATTGAATGTACCTTCAAAATTCCCTCATTCACAGTACTCCAACACAATAATTTTCCTGTTTGCATCTTCCAAATACATGCGTTAATGTACTTAGTTATCGTGATTAATAATTATACACAATTCATTTTATAAAACATTATGAAAGCCATCTTTAAACAGCAGGAAATATCCCAGGAACAAAAATTTATTTTCACGTTTTTATAAGGTGAGGTTGTAGCTGCACAGATTCAAACCTTTAAAGTTACTGGGTTACTTATCTTTAACTTTTTGCCTGTTTCTCTTTTCTCAGCACATAAACGCGCATCATGCTTATGAATCTCAGATCTCGTCAATGGCAAAAGCCATGTCTCGATTAGAAGAAGAGCTTAGACAGCAAGAAGATGAGAAGGCAGCAGTGTTAAATGATTTATCATCTCTTAGAGAACTTTGCATTAAGCTTGATTCAGGCAAGGATATTATGACCCAACAACTGAATTCCAAAAACCTTGAGTTTGAGAGGGTAAGAACTAAAAAAAAATTGTTATAGCACATTGCTTTATTAAGCCCTACTCTAGTTGTTTTATTATTCACTATCCAATATATCTTTTCCCCTTTTAAGTAGTTACTTTTGACTACAGGATTTTGACAACTAGATTTGACTGCTAGATTCTTCTCCTAGACTTCTCTGGCAAACATGGTGATGAAGTTTGGTGCTTTCTGTTTTGGGGCTAGATAAGCATTTAGGAGACTATGAATCTTCTAATTATAGATTATAAGTTAGGAGCATATCCCGGTATATTACTTTGTTTAAAAATAAGACTTGGTAATCATGCCTTTTCAAATAATAAGGAATCTAAACGTCAGCAAAGAGACGATGGAAAAACTCAGTATCATCAGTCAGAACAAGGCTAGGGGCCAGCTATGGTATAGACCATCAATTGCTCATATGCAAGTTCAAGTTGAAGGTGAAGAAAATTAAAACAAGTCCACAAAAGCCAAAGTATGACCTTGAATATATTCCACCTGAATTTAGAGACCATCTCAAGAGTAGATTTGACTCATTGAACAGTAATGACCGAAGACCAGACGGATTGTGGAGTGACATCAAGGACGTTATACATGAAGAAAGCAAGAGGTCGTTAAAAAGACAGGAAAGAAGGAAAAGACCAAAATGGATGTCAGAAGAAGCTTTGAAACTTACTCTTGAACATAGAGTAGCTACAACATAAAGAAATGATGAAGTAAAAGGGCTAAACAGAAGATTTCAAAGGGCAGCTTGAGAAGAAAAAGTAAAGTGTTATAATGACATATGCAAAGACCTGGAGTTAGAAAACAAAAGCAAAGAACACCCTCGACATTTCTCAAGCTGAAAGAACTGAAGAAAAGATTTAAGCCTGGAGTTGCAATATTGAAGGAGTCTATGAGAAAAATATTAAACGATGCAGGAAGCATCAAAAGCTGATGGAAGGAATACACAGAGTCACTATACCAAAAGCATTGGTCAATGTTCAACCATTTCAGGAGGTAGTATATGATCAAGAACTGATGGTACTGAAGAAAGAAGTCCAAGCTGCACTGAAGGCACTGGCAAAAAACAAGGCTTCAGAAGTTGATGGAATACCAATAGAGATGTTTCAAAAAATGGATGCAGCTCTGGAGGTGCTCACTTGTCTTTGCCAAAAAATTTGGAGGACAGCTACCTGGCCAACCAAGTGCAAAGATCCATATATGTGCTCATTCCAAAAAAGGTCATCCAACAGAATGTGGAAATTACAAACAATATCATTAATATCACACACAAGTAAAATTTTGCTAAAGATCATTCAAAAGCGGTTGCAGCAATACACTGACAGGGAACTGCCAGAAATTCAGGCCAGGTTCAGAAGAGGATGTGGAATGAGGGATATCATTGCTGATGTCTGATGGATCTTGGATGAAAGCAGAGAATACCAGAAAGGTGTTTACCTGTGTTTCATTGACTATGCAAAGGCATTCGACCATGTAGATCATAACAAACTATGGATAACATTGTGAAGAACGGGAATTCCAGAACACTTAACTGTACTCATCCAGAACCTGTACATAGATCAAGAGACAGTCATTCAAACAGAACAAGGGAATACTGTGTGGTTTAAAGTCAGGAAAGGTGTGCGTCAAGGTTGCATCCTTTCACCATTCTTATTCAGTCTATATACTGAGCAAATAATTGGAAAGCTGGACTGTATGTAGAAGAATGGAGTATCAGGATTGGAGGAAGACTCATTAACAACCTGTGATATGTAGATGACACAACCTTGCTTGCTGAAAGTGAAGAGGACTTGAAGCACTTACTGATGAACACGAAGACCGCAGCCTTCAGTATGGATTACACCCTAACATAAAACAAAAATCCTCACAACTGGACCAATAAACAACATGATGATAAACGGAGAAAAGACTGAACTTGTCAAGGATTTCATTTTACTTGGATCCACAGTCAACACCCATGGAAGCAGCAGTCAAGAAATCAAATGATGTATTGGGCAAATCTGCTGCAAGAGACCTCTTTAAAGTGTTAAAAAGCAAAGATGTCACCTTGAGGACTAAGGTGAGCCTGACCCAAGCCGTGGTGTTTTCAGTCACCTCATGTGCATGCGAAAGCTGGACAGTGAATAAGGAAGACCGAAGAAGAATTGATGCCTTTGGATTATGGTGTTGACAAAGAATAGTGAATATACCATGTACTAACAAAAGAAACAACAAATTTGTCTTGGAAGAAGTACAGCCAGAATGCTCCTTAGAAGCACGGATGGCAAGACTTCGTCTCACATCCTTTGGACATGTTATTAGTGGGGATCAGTCCCTGGAGAAGAACATTATGGTTGGTAAAGTACAGGGTCAGTGAAAAAGAGGAAGACCCTCAATGAGATGGACTGACACAGTGGCTGCAACAGTGGACTCAAGCATAATGATTGTGGGGATGGCGCAGGACCGGGCAGTGTTTCTGTTGTGCATGGGGTTGCTATGAGTTGGAACCAACTCGACGACACCTAACAACAAGAGCAACAAAGAAGAATTGATGCTTTTGAATTATGGTATTGGCGAAGAGTATCGAATATACGATGGGCTGCCAGAAGAACCTTGGAAGAAGTACTCCCAGAATGCTTCTTAGAAGCAAAGATGGCAAGACTTCATCTCACATGCTTTGGACATGTTATCAGAAGGGACCAGTTCGTGGAGAAGGACATCGTTTTTGGTCAAGTAGAGGGTCAGCAAAAAAGAGGAAGACCATCAACGAGAAAGACTGACACAGTGACTGCAACAGTGGGCTCGTGCATAACAACAATTGTGATGATGGCACAGGACCAGACAGTGTTTCGTTCTCTTGTACATAGGGTCGCTATGTGTCAGAACCGCCTCAATAGCACCTAACAACAGTAAACATTAGCAGTAGAGTAATTTCTATAGCAGGACATGTCATTAGTGATGATCTCAAGTTACTCTGTGTTCAGTAAGACTTTCAAAGGGAGAAGAATTGCCTAGACTAGCCAAAGAGCCAAATTCTTCCTGCCAACTGGTAGAGGAGGACAGTTAGTAACTCTGATGTTTACCATGACCCTGAAACTCAGGGACAAACATATCAATAACTGTATACTTTGTAAACTTTCTCACCCAACAGCCACATTGCCAGGACTAAAAGGAATCATGGAGATGCACACAGATTGATCTATGACGATGTTCATCTCAGAGATACTTATTAATAGCTAAAAACTCAAGACAGCATAATATCTGTAAATTGGAATTAATAATTGCCCATTGAAATCACAGAATACTCAATCAACAGCAATTTTGAAAGGTTACAAAAATCTATTCTTATTGAGATGTTGAAAGGGCAGATTGCAAAACATTTACAGCAGCATCATTTTTGTTAAAAAATATACATGCAGAGAAAATAGACTATAAAGTTACATACTAAATTATCTGTGATTATCAGCCTGGCCAATTTCTAGAGATTGTCACTTTCTTCCTTTTGTCCGGTATATATTGATGTTTGTGTGGCTCTGGGAGAAACCCTGGTGGCGTAGTGGTTAAGTGCTATGGCTGCTAACCAAAAGGTCTTCAGTTTGAATCCACCAGGAACTCCTTGGAAACTCTGTGGGTTAGTTCTACTCTGTCCTGTAGGGTCTATGAATCAGAACTGATGCGATGGCAACGGGTTTTACAGGTGGATCTGGGAGAGATAACATGTTCCACTTCATGAAGACATAGGGATGAGACATGGAATTGTTCATTCTTATTGAAACAACCCTGAGTCTCAGGCTTCTTTTGCTTACCATCAGTTTCTAGTATTTCCGAATGAATGCTGTCTAGGTCCAGATGTTAAAAAAAGAAATATATTTTGCTAAACTTAAACTCATAATGTGTTTATTTTAATTAATTTTCTTATTCACTTATTTATTTATTTTGGAGTGCTGATGAAGAAGAGGCTTTGGGAAGGAAAAGCAAATAAAACTCTTAACTGAATAATCAAAAAGAAGTTAGACTTGAATGAAGACTTGAGCAGTTCATTGCTTCCTAGGTGGAATACTTTTTTCTGATAAAAATCTCCAGGAATTTAAATCTTACATAATTTGAAAAGTCTAGTTAGCTGGAACTTCCTATTCCCAAACTGAGGCATTACTTTAAACAACCCAGTGTGGGTTTTCAAACATGGGTGTTTTTAATTTTCACTCATCTAGTAGAATATTTTCAGTTACTGAGAAGGTAAAATACTGGCTTGATGATGTAGTCAGAATGCACATTTTTCATAGATCAATAGGGTCTTGTTGCTGACACCCATTGCTGTTGAGTCAATTCCAACTCATAGCAACCCTAAAGGACAGAGTAGAACTGCCCCATAGCGTTTCCAAGGAGTGGCTGGTGGATTCGAACTGCCGACCTTTTGGTTAGCAGCCCATCTCTTAACCACTGCACCACCAGGGCTCCTTGTTGCTGATAGGTCAGTGTAAAGATGGCATGACAGCAGCATCTGATCTACTCTAACTTCACAAGGCAGGAGGAGGATCAAGATCAACAGTCCAAGGCTGATTCCTATGAGGCAGAGGTCAGGCATACCTCCACCCTCCAACCTTTTTACCATTCTGACACCAGCCCACCATCCCTCTCATGGCACTCTCTACTTCTTTGCTGGGTTCGGTAATTTGTTGCAGTGGCCACACAGAACTCACAGACCATACTCACCGTTATGGGGTTTATTCGGGAAGTAACAGATTACAATTCAGGATCAGGAATAACTCTGGATACAGTTCTTTGGTCAGGATAGCTTCTTGTCGGTACCCGCAGGCCTCTCTCTCGTCCCCGCGGATCCTTGGTCTGGCCTCTGCCCTGCTCAGGCAACTGCTGTAATGCTCTTTAGCACCACCATTAAGTGCCCGGAGGTACCCCACTCCACCAATAAGCCTCAGTCCAATGGTGTTCAGCTCTCTGGACCCGTGGGTCGGTGGTTCTGCCAAGTGCCTGGAGGCATCCCACTCTGCCAGCAAACCTCCTGCTCAAGGACACTCAGCCCTCTTGCTCCATGGGTCAGCAGGCCCACTGTAGGTATCTTGCTGTTTAGTCTGGGAAGCCTACCATGCCATCTCTTGCCAGTCTCCTGGTTTTACTGCTGCCATTTCTCTGCCACACTTGCTGCTGTTTCTCGCCATCTCACGCCTTCTCTGATGTTACAGCTCTCTGTCTTCTGGATCTAGGAGGTTCTCGGAGCCAGAACCCCAGGTCCAAATGACATTTTCCACTCTTGGCTCTTCTTGATGGTAGTGAGATCCCTGCTCTTCTGCTTCTGGGATTGGCTCCCTCTAAGGCTAGTGGGATGGCAAAACTAACCAATCTCCTTGTTAGGATTCCATACACCTTATTCACATGGTCCAGTCCCCACAAGAGTTCCATGCACCTTATTTGCATGTTAGCAGGCTGTCCATTCCCCTTGATGGGCCACAAGCACCTAATTTGCATAGTCCCACCCAGTCATTGTGTGGGAATCACGAAGACTGACTAGAAGGGTCATGTTAAGTAATTTACTGCACCGCAGCTGGCCACCTTTTAGGATTTCATTGTTAATAAGCATCTCTTGACAAGTAGCATGGGTGAGAACTATTTGAGGGCTGGAATAGGTTTTATAATCAAATAAACCCTTAATAAAAAATAGTAAAAGTTAATTTGAAAATAAGATGTTTTTCTTATAGTTAAGGAAGCGGTTCAAAATCTTTAACCAATATAACCAATACCCAAAATGAAGCAACTGATAGGTGTACAGCTCTGAAGAACTCTATTTTAAGATAAAGAATTTTCGCGAGTAAGTCTAAAATTGTGCCAAAGTAATCTTACTTTGTTTTTCCTTTAGGTTGTGGTGGAATTAGAAAATGTCAAATCAGAAGCAGACCTTTTAAAAAAACAACTAACAAGTGAGAGACATACAATTAAAAACCTTGAATCATTGTTGGCTACAAATAGAGATAAAGAATTTCATTCTCATCTATCCTCCCATGAGAAGGATACAGAAATTCAATTACTTAAAGAGAAATTAACCCTTTCAGAAAGCAAACTGTAAGTGTCAAAATCAACCTATGTGAGGAAAATAGCTTGTCAACAATAAGTTCGTTTCCTTTTAGAGGGGAGGAGGGAAAGTGTGAAAGGGGGTGGTTCAAAACCAAAATATTTGAGTGAAGTGTCTGCTGCTCTTGGAAATTCAGAGGAATAGTTCAAGAGAGACATCATGTTTAGAGATACAGATTTGGATCTTCAGCACAGAGGTGGCCTGATGGAGTGAATGAAGAGAGTGAACTTTAGAAAAATGCCTAAATTTAAGGGATGAAAAGAGGAATCAGTGCAGAAGAAAGTGTTGCACGTAGTCAGCTGTGTCTCATGCTTAAGTTAGGATAAAAGACTTAGAAAAGCCCGTCAGATTTGATCTTCATGAGCATATTGATTACCTTTTAGGATGTTGATAATGGTGTCTTTAGGATGGGGAGGTTTAGGCATAATTGTTGGAAGAGAGGAGGATACCCAGAGTAGATGGCACAAGTGGGAGACTTAGCTCTTAAAAGAGAAATATTTCTCTTTCTAGACATATCTGTCTGATTTTAAATCCTATGCTTTTAACCTCTACAGTATATTCCCTGTAGCTTAATCATTTTCAGACGAGGGTCAAGTAAGATGAAGAGTTTACATCTAAGTGTTAATGGTTCATGTCCTGTTCAACTTTGTATCCCCAGAATTACTGCAGTGTCTGTCAGGTAGTAGGAGCTCAGTTAAAGTTTGTTAAATGAACCAGATGAATGAAAAGGAAAATTTTGTAATAGAACCTCCAGAAGCTTAGAGAATTACTGTTGAAAGGTCTTGATCTTCTCTTTTGTCATTCTTAAACATCACCTCCATTTGATTTATTAATAACAAAAACAAAAATCTATAGCATATGATTTCAAAACAGAATTTTTCTCATTTATTTTTTTGATTTTTAAATTTGTTTTTAAGAACTTGCCAAAGCCGGGAAAACACCATGCTTCGAACTAAAGTGACACAATTACAAATAGATTATGATGCTATGAAAAGACAAATTTCAACTGAAAGATTTGAACGGTAAGAAAAAGCATTTAGCATTGGACAATGTTTTTATTTATTCCCTATCCTAGTCCAAAAAGGATTTAATATAGCTTACAAATAGCCAACTTTTTTTAGTATTAATACCTAAAAGAAATTCTTTTTAGTAATTTGTCCTAAAAAGGCACAAGTGTTACAGAAGATAACATTGCTGCAGTAAACAAAATAACAAGTATTGTGTAAATGTTTCCTATAGTATTCCTCAGGGGAAAATAAGGACATTATTTCAAAGAGTATAAATAGGGAACCAACAAGCTAAGAGGGATTCTGCTACCACCTCCAGTTGCTGTTCAGTCAGTTCAACTCAGGTAGACCCATATGTGTCAGAGTAGAACTGTGCTCCATAGGGTTTTCAATGGCTGGTTTTGTTTTTTTTTTAATTGTTGTACTTTAGGTGAAAGTCTACAATTCAAGGTAGTCTCTCATACAAAAATTTATATATACATTGTTATGTGACCCTAATTGCTCTCCCTATACTGTGACAGCACACTCCTCCTTTCCACTCCTGATTTCCTGTGTCCATTCAGCTAGCTCCTGACCCTCTCTGCCTTCTCATCTCACCTCCGGCCAGGAACTGCCCATTTAGTCTCATGTATCTACTTGAGCTAAGAAGCACACCCTTCACGAGTATCATTTTACATGCCATAGTCCAGTCTAATCTTTGACTGAATAGTTGGCCTCGGGAATGGTTTTAGTGCTGGGTTGACAGAGAGTCCGGGGGCCACGCTTTATGGGGATCCTCCAGTCTCAGTCAGACCAGTAAGTCTGGTCTTGTTACTAGAATTTGAATTCTGTACCCCACCTTTCTCCTGCTCCATCAGGGACTCTCTGTTGTGTTCCCTGTCAGGGCGGTCATTGGTGGGACCAGGCATCAGTTAGTTAGTTCTTCTGGTCTCAGGCTGATGCAGTCTCTGGTTTATGTGGCCCTTTCTCTCTCTAGGGAATGGCTGATTTTTTAAGTAGATTTCCAGGCCTTTCTTTCAAGGCATCTCTGGGTGGACTCGAACCTCCAGTGTTTCAGTTAGCAGCAGAGCATGTTAACGATTTGTACCACCCAGAGACTCCACCAGGGATTCTACAGGGCTCCAAAACAGTATGATCCAAGTAGGAAGCTCCAAATACAGATCATCATAAAGGTGATGATGATGATAATAGCAGTTAACAAATATGTGCCCGATAATATCTATGTATCTGGTTAATTCTTCCAACAATCTATTTTTAAGCCTATATCACAGATAGGGAAACTCCGGTTTAAGATTGTGAAGTGATTTGCCCAAGGTCACACAAATAGTAAATTGCCTAGCCAACACTAAAATCCACACATGTGTGTGTAATTTTTAACCCTGTGCTTTTAACCTCTACAGTATACTCCCTACAGTTTAGTCGTTTTCATGCTTCCTTATATTTCAGTTCATTTGCTTTATTTTGTTGAAGATTTGAATCCCTAAGTGATACAAACAGGAATGAGACCTGCTCTAAGAGTTAAAATTGAAGTCTAATTTGCAAATTAATTGTCAAGTTACTTTTGTATAACTTTGCTCTACTCTATAAATACCGTAGGCATCAACATTCCTGAGATTTCATTCAGAAATAATGATCAGTTTGCTTATTACATCAATTTTTGCATTCTTTTATTTTTATCCGTTGGCATCACAAACTTTTGAGTGATTTACTATTTAGAGTATAGACTGAATTTGCTAAGAAGTCAATCTTCATGCTTCCAAAGAGAAATGAAACCTGAGGTTGCAACAGTGAAACGAAAGCGGTGTTATTAATTTTTTATAATTTAGAAGATACAGTTTCTGAATGTGCTGAACTGTACATTTAGAAGATATAGTTTCTGAATGTGCTGAAGTATACATGTATAATGATTTCCATTTCCTGATGATAACTGAAATTCTCTTCAATTCAAGTATCCTGAACTCTCTATAGGTTAGAGTTTGAGGTCCCCTTAGTCCCTCCCCTTTTTCCCTGCCCTTAGTCCCCAAAGAAGGCGTGCCACATGACCATGTCTTTCCTACTTCATGCCATCTAATTAGGTCATGCGTTCTTAAGGGGGGGAATATTACCCTCCATCAAGGGGGAATAAATTGCTTCTTGGGGAGGGCAAAAAAACCTTAGATATTATAATGGCCCTCCAAGAGACCACAGTACATAAACAGATATACAGTATACCTGTGGTATCATGATTTGACGGGGTAGGGAATAAGGGAAAAAATATCTACAAGGGCTTCTTTGGGGGATGATAATGAAAAAAGTTTGAGAAACACAACTAGGTAGTAACCCTGGATACTGAAGAACTCAAGGCAGAAAAAAGTCTAAACCAGAGACTGAATAGCCCACAAAGGAGGTGACAACACAGTGACCATGCTCTGTGGGGTTAGACCCAGAAGGAAAGCAGTACAGAGAGGACAGATTGTTTCATTTCTGACATTTGGGAGTTTTGAGATGGGAAGAGGGCTAAACGTATATGCAGGAAGAGATGGAGAATAAAAGGGCAGAGGAGGGAACCTACCAACTTGAAAATCTGTACTCAGAGGGGTGAGTTCAGTCCTAGGGCTTTAGTGAGAAGTCAGTAAAGTACAGACAGTATATGATCTACCCCCTACACTCAGTATAAATGACTGTCTTTGAATTAATAGGAAGAAGGTGAGTGAATATATGTACCTGAAAAAGGAAGACGGTTGTCATGTAAGTTTGATCTGACAGGCTGGGACACATAAGAGTAAACTGCATATATTTTAGTATCCCAATCTTTCTAAATTCAGCTCAGAGTGATAGTAAGAGCCCATTATTACTGGCTATGCCTCTGTACAATAGTCCAAATATTGTTTCCATTAGGGCCAGGTGCTATGCCAAGTACCAGGAATGAATATGAATAATGAATGCCCAGGGAACCCACTATAATGAGGAAGACACATATACAGACAATTTAAAAGCAGTATGGAACCGCAGGTATAGAGATGGGTGTAGGATTTCATAGGAACATTGATGGAGATATCTGACCTAGTCTGAAATCAGTAAGGGAAGATCAATTTAGGGCATTTTGGGTCCCTGTGGGATGTTCAGTAGAAACATATACGTGGGTCTGGAGCACAGGGCAGAACTAAAGATGTAGATGTCAGAGAGTTGTTGGCATGTATATGTACTTAAAGCATGGGAAAACACCAACATTTAAAGTGTAGGCAGAAGAAAAGGATCTAGTAAAAGGACTAAGGAATGGTCATCTAGGTAGAAAGAAAATTAGGAGAGGGTAGTGTGTCATAGAAGCCAAGAGTGTTTAACAGTATCAGATACTTCAGAAAGGTGAGTAAGTTAAGGAATTTGCCAGTAAACGTATAGGAATTTAATTTTTAAGAACAAAATAAAACAGGTTCATGGTACATTTTTTTAAAAATATTAAAGTATAAGGAAGAAAATCAAAGGTATCTGTAAATTCTACCTTCTATAAACACTATTAACACCTTGGAGTTTAACATCTAGTCATGTATTTGTGTGTGTGTGTGTGTGTGTGCACTGTGTGTACATTTAGTATCCTGTTGTGTAACCCACTTTTTCCCTAAATGTATTATGAGCATTTTGCTTCTAAAATATTTTAATGATAGCCTGCTGTTGTGTCCTTGAGTGTTGCAAACAGTTAACATGCTCAGCTGCTAACTGAAAGGTTAGAAGTTTGAGTCTACCCAGAGATGCCTTGGAAGAAAGGACTGGAGATCAACTTCTGAAAAATCGTCCATTGAAAACCGTATGGAACCTAGTTCTGCTCTGACACACATGGGATCGCCATGAGTCAGACACAGGAAACTGGAACTATTATTATGCCTATAATTATGATTTGACCATAATTGCTTTAAATAATTCCTTAAATTCGTGTTCTTTTAATTGAAGTATTTTATCAATTACTCAAAAATCATATAAGGATGTAGGACTTAAATTTAGTAAAAATACCAATTAATTTAGTAGAAAATACTTAATTAGCTAATATCAATAACAACACTTTATATTTGAATAGCACTTCATAGTTTTTCATGGTGTATTATTTTTCTTGTTTGATCTTTACCAACAGAGAGCGAGCTATCCAAGAGATGCGTCGACATGGTCTTCCTACACCACCCCTTAGTTCTACTCTGAAGTCTCCTTCAGATTCTCCTGAACTTATAAACTTATGATTATCGGGTATGTGTGTGTAATACCAAGAACAGGCAGTACTGATCTATGGTGATAAAACTTTGTGGAGGAAGGGGAGATTGGCTTGACAGGTGTTCAGGGGAACTTGCTAAAGTACTGAAAATGTTCTGTATCTTGGTGGTGTTGGTTAGAGAAGTATATACAGTTATCAAAACTCATTGAACTGAACACTTAAGATTCATGCACATTGTTGTAAGTAAATTATATCATTTAAAGAAGAAATCATCCACAACAAAATGTTAAATGATGATATATCACAGGGTAGTATTTGATGAAGTACCAAATTCAGGGTATAAGTAATTTAGGTGGGAAAAATGTGAATAAAAGCATAGAAACAGGAATGCCCATGGTGCAGTAGACTCAGTCTGGCAGGAATGGTAGGTTATTGGGGAATAATGAGGGGAAAAGTTTGGGAGGTAGAATGGGATATATCGAATATATATTGAATATATTGCTAAATTGGAGATTGTGGATTTATTCTGTAAGTCGTGAGGAACCATTGAAGGTCCTCCTGTATATAGGACATGTGCAAGGGTAGGGTTAAGATGAAAGATTGTTTCTGGAGGATTAACTTCACAACTTTGGACCAAATTTAGGAGGGTGGAAACCAGAAGTAGGAAGACCAGTAAGAGGTGTGAAATGATGACAGTTTAGGATCAGTATAATAATAATTGAAAACGAGGACAGATTATTTTAAATTAAATGATCATATTTATACAGAAAAGTGCCATATCAAATGTGTATAGCTCAATGAATTTTCACAGATTGAACACACCCAGATCCTACACCCAGGTAAAGAAACAAGCCACTAATCTGTAGTCATAAGCTCCCTTCTAGTCATCAGTCCTACTCTAAACGTAACCAGTGTCCTGGCTGTTAAAAGCGTAGATTGCTTTTGTCTGTTTTTGGATACTTTATAAATGAAATCATATAGTTCTGGCTTCTTTTGCTCAACAGTACATTTGTGAAATTCATCCATATTGTTGAGTGTACCTGTAGACTGTTCAGTCTTGTTGCTCTGTAGTATTCCATTGTGTAAACATTCCACAATCCAATTGTTGGTGGGCAATTGATAGTTTATAGCTTGGGCTATTACAAATAGTGCTGTAATGAACATTCTAGTGCCTGTCTGTTTGTGAGCAGATGTGTGTGTTTGTTTTGGGTATATACCTAGGAGTGAAATTCTGGGTCACTGGATATGCATATGTGCAAGCTCTAGTATTATAGGTATGCCAAAACAGTTTTCCAGAGTGGTTTTAAAGAGGTAGGACAGATTTGACTGAGGAAGAGTCAAATGTGCTGACTCGTTGGAATGGGAATGAATGCAAAAAAAGCTGAGTCAGACCCAGTCTTTGAAAGGTGAACAGTGCCATATTGTTGACAAAAATAGTAAAGTCGGTCTTTTTAAAAATTATTCATTTCCTTGCCTCTTTAAACAAAAATACCTAAAAGATAGTTGAACATTTCTGCAATGACTCAGAATCCTCATTATGACCATTAGTTATATGCTGTGCTTTAACATACCGATCATAGTCGTTATGAGTCAAAATTCACTCAGCAGCACCTAAGAACAACATACTGATATCCCAGGGTTTCCTGGTGTTTGTAGGAGCCCTGGTGGTGCTGTGGTTAAAGCGCTCAGCCGCTAACCTGAAGGTCTACAGTTTGAACCCACCAGCTGCTCCACAGGAGAAGGCTGTGGCAGTCTGCTTCCCAGCCTTGGAAGCCCTATGGGGTAATTCTACTCTGTCCTGTAGGGTCACTGTGAGTCAGAACTGATTCTTTGGCAGTGGGTTTGGTTTTGGGTTATTGGTGTTTGTAGACTCTAGTAGGACATTCTACTAAATGATTCCAGATTGCAGTGTTTTTGTTTGTTTATTTAAAACATTTTTTTTTTCTTCCTTCACCTTGAGGACCACTTCTACAATCACTGTGACTTCATACTTTCTAAGCTCCTGCATTATTTTGCATATTAGATGGAGGTTCAGCTTCTCGTTATAAAGCTTTATTTCTGCTGTGACACATTTTCTCATGCTTGATAGATAGCTACGTTTTTAGATCAAGATTTGGCTGAGTAGAGTCTGTGGGCCAAATCTACCCTGCTGCCTGTTTGTGTAAGTTAAGTGGTACATAGCCATACCCATTTGTTTATATTGTGTAAGGCTGCTTTTTTCCTACAAAGGTGGAGTTTAGTAGTTGCAACAGTGACCCTGGGGCCTGCAAAACCTAAATTATTTACTATCTGCACCATCACATCATGTAGCCTCTGAAAAACTCAACTGTAGAATTGGGAGAGTAAGAGTGAAAAAGGAAATAATTCCTTGTTATTTGTTGTTAGCTGCCACTGAGTCAGCTCCTGCTCAGAGTGACTTTATGAAAATTGGTTTGACCTTGTAGACTCCCCCCTCCCCGACCAAAGGGTCTAAGAGACCCCCGGGGATTCCCGAACTATATGTTGAGAACCACTGGTATAGGACATAGTGGATTGCAGCAATTCCTAAAATTGTGATGAATTAGAAAACTTCTGCAACCATTAACAATTCAGAGTATGCTAATAAGGTTGTTGGTTGGTAACCAATTCCCACTCATGTTTTCTAAACATTGTCACCAAGGCTAACTTTAAGGAACTTGCCCATAAGCACTCAAAAATGAATGGTAAGCTCAACTATGAAAGTTTCCCAACTCTAAAACCATTATCTTTACCAGTGGATTACAGTGTCTCTGTAGTAGTTAAAATATTTAATCCATTTTTTTTTTTAATTTTAAAAATTGTGTGTTCTGTATTTTTAAGATTTGCTTTTGTTGTGATTATTGTATCTAATACATACTCACTGAAAAAACATAAAATACAGAAAAGTATAAAGGAAACAAAAATCACTTTTAATCCTACAACTCAGAGATAATAGCAGTTAGCATTTTGGTATACTTCCTTGCAGTATTTAATTTATAACAAAAATGCATACATACGCATAAATAATTTGACTGATATTATACTCAAAATCATTTTCTGTTTTGTTTTCTTCTTTGGTTTTTTTTTCCCCCTTCATATTGTTGTGAGTGTTCATTCTCATTAATAAACGCATTTTCAAAAATGCCATTTTAAAATAGGAATCTTAACAGTTCATCATATGGGTATTCTGTGATTTATTTCATCATTCTTGTTTTATGGGACATGTATTATTTCCAGGTTTTTTCTCTTATAAATAGTGTCTTATATCAATTTTTGACAACATGTCTGATATATCTTCCTAGATGGAGAGGAAGATAATTACTTTTTCAATATTTCCTTTGTGAGCTTTTTCATATTTTAATGTGTGTGTGTTTTAATTGCCTAGGGTGATTAGATTGCACATTAAGGTAATGCTATCAGTCAAAATATTTGACTCTCCATAACATGCTATGTTGAGATTCAGACAACATAATTTATAGTACTTGTATATAATTGTATCAAAGCAAGACATCATAGTCTTTGTTCTTTTGAGTAATTTTTCTCGATTAACATGCTATATTAGGCTATTTTTGTCACTGTATTTGTATCATTCATTTAGTATGTTTATAATAAACATACATACACATGCATACGCACACACATATGTAATTTAATAGAGCCCATACTCAAAGTAGTTTTTATCCTGTTTGTTTTCTTTTCTTGTTTGGGTGTGATAGATATACTTTGTCGGTTGTGAGGAATATCTTTTTGCTATATAGAACAGTACTTAATAACTATTAAAATTTATATATACATATATATAAAACTATGTATCTATTAAAATATTACTGAATTTCAGTTTTTCCATGAATGTATTGAGTAACTTTATCATTTTTCTCCCCAGTCACCTTCTCCCTTTTCAGAATAATGGCTTTCAGTAAGTTGGCTATATGGATTTTTAAAAGGACAGAACAGTAATGGAAATATTTGAAGTACTTGTTCCTGAAAATCATGAACATTGGCACAATTCTACCTCTGTCAACTTTTCTTTAAATCAGTGAATATTTATGTAAAAAAAAGTTTGAAAAGAACTTAATATCCATGTGTATATTTTCATATATATAACAAAATATGTATTAATAGTGATAGCTGATGTTATATATGTATTTTTATTATTACTGACTTAAATTACTCCTTAAAGTGTGTTTATACTGTGAATTAATATGTATTGTCCATATTATGCTTTAATAACTTGTTTCTTAATGAGCCATGATATATGTATAAAATATTTTTACAATCTTTGTTTTTAAAGTGTTTTTTAGTTTTCATGCATGTGTTTCTAACCCATATCTTTAACACATTCCTGAAGAATTATTAACTTGGATGCTGTTCCATCACATTTAACTTTTTGTCTTCTCAGCATAAAATAAATTATTCACAGATTTACTGTATGTCATCAAGGGGAATATATTCTGGCCTAATGTAACAGACTAGCAAAAATCTTGCTGAAATAGTGATCATATATAATTTATTACTGTCAACAAGAAGAACTGTGATGGGAAAGCTACATTTATGTACTGTACGCACTTATTTTGGCTATCACATGGACTCTGCACATACAGTTTCTATCAAAGTCAAAAGCTACTTTCAGAGTTTTTTAAAACGACAGAACAGAAATTTGGGGTTTTTTTTCAATAAATAAAAGTTCTCAGTGTATTAATCTAAAATTTGAGAATATAAAGTTATATAGGGTAAATAAAGCATTTTTTAATTCATTCAGTAATGTACAATAATATTTGTTTTTTGCTTCTAAACCTGTATATTATAATTGATTAGTCTCCCCAAATCATATTTAAATACTAAACTGTGGCATATAAATAGAAAATAGCTTTTTACAATTACCTTTCATAGTTGTGATTTTAAATAATTTAGGTGTGTGTGCGTGTGTGTACACTTAAGTTAATAAAAGAACAGAAGTACAAAGTAGAATGTCAGATACAGAAACTAATCGTGTTTGAGCCATACACATTTGAAGAAAATCCTGTTCTTAATAAATTTCATTATGATTGAGCGAGAAGAACTTAAAAGCTAACATAAGAAAATGGAAGAGTCAGAACAATTATTTTGATACATTTTGTTTCCTCCTGTGTCTTAATAAGGTAGAATTTGTGTGTGTGTGTATCTGAGGATTCTTTTTCTAAAATTAATAGCCTTGTATGTTCTGCTTATGGCCTTTGCAATAATTCAGTGTGTAATTGGATGTGGTGTGGCTTCCTTTTCCACCATCTTTGTAATTTGATGTACCCCATGTCCTTTGTGTGAATTCATGTATTATAGCAAAATATAAGAGAAGTGTGACTGTTTGCAGTATCACATGAAAAATCTTTTAATGAATATGTAAGTAAAAAAAAAATAAATATCTGTTCCCACTTCCCCCAAAGCAATATTAAAACATATTTTGTTAGATATTTTACTTTTAATGTTTTCAATAATTTAAAAATATATAGCTTGCCATAATTGTTATTTTCATAACCATGATGCTATAGTTTTTTTAAAAAATGGGTTTTATCTTAAAATACTGAATGTTCTGACGTTTTGAATAATTTTAAATAATGGAGCTTGACAGATTTTCCAATAAACTTTGTAGTCAATTTATTTTCTCTTTCAAATAATTTTCTTGTGGATTTTACATTAGCAATATTATTTAATTCTAAAATTAAGTGAAAATATACTCAAATCAGACTTTATCATGGTGTAATGTGGGCATTTGGAGCCAGACACTTTTTTACTGACTTTTTTTTTTCCACTTAGTTCAGAATATAAGAAATGAAGTCAAAATTTCTGTTAGTAATCCATCCACAGAATGATTGAACAGGATGTGTGTGTGTGTGTGTGTGTGTGTGTACATTTTTCTCACTTGCAAATGCTCTTTGTGAGAACATTAATTACCATTGGATTAAGCCATCTGCTACCCCATCTTATTGCAGTCCTCTCTCACACATCTGATTTGACACTACCCTCCTCAGTTCTTAGAAGATTTTAGCACCTGGCTTGCTGTCCTTCTACCATTAGTTCTATCATCATTCTGTGTGTGTCATTATCTTCTTGAATTAATGGTTATTGACCATAGCTGCACATTTACCTGGAGAACTTTTTAGTGTAGATCTGATGCCTGAACCCTACACCAGACCAAATAAATCAATCTCTAGGAGTGAGGTGTGGTCTTTTTTTTTTTTTTTTAATTTTACATTCTCTAGGTAATTCTAATTTGCAGTCAGAGTTAAAAATGCTAATTCAGGTCCATCTAATTGATTTCATGATCCACTAGTGGAACTCAACCTATAGTTTGAAAAACACTATGCTATCTTGTCATTACTTCGAAAATCTCAATTTCTAGCATCTTATTTACCTCTCCTGGTTGCTCCATTTAATACACCTATTCTAACAATTATTTTACTCCACCAGCATCTACAGATAATTGACTCTACCACCTATTCTGTGTATATAATTCCATCACCCTCACTTACCTCTTTATCTGCATAGACATCATTGTATTTGCATACACTCTAAATTCCCTCTCCCTCTGAAATGTAAACTCCAATCTTATGTATATCCAACTACTATGCATCTGAAGGAGCTCTGATGCACTGGTTAAAACACTTGGCTGCTAACCAAAAGGTCAGCAGTTCAACCCACCAGCTGCTCCATGGGAGAAAGATGTGGCAGTCTGCTTCTGTAAAGATTTACAGCCTTGGAAACTCTATGAGGTAGTTCTACTTTGTCCTATAGGGTCACTATGAGTCAGAATCAACTCAGGGTAGTGGGTTTTTATTTGGTAGTATGTGTCTGTACCTAAGCAGTTGAACATAGCTGGAGAAAAACAAGCATGCTGACTCTTAGGACTACTCCAATCATCCTTTAATTCCCATCTTTTCAGTGAAACCAGTCTGGTCAAGGCACCGAGAACTCCCATGTTGTCAAATCCAGTGGATCATTAGTCTTCCATTTACTCCATCTTTCACCAGTAATTGACATGTTTTTTCCCTCCTGTTTGAAACATTTTCTTCATTTTGCTTCCCCAATACCAAATCATGCTGGTTTTCTTACCCTGGCTACTGTTTCTCAGTCTCATGCTTTTAGCTCCTCCTAACTTTTAAATGTAGAAGTACCTTGGGGTTCAGTTCATCTTTATTTACTCTTGCTGATAACTTCAAAATTTAATTCTTCAACCCCAGACTTCTTCCTGAATTCTAGACACATATCTAAGTGCCTATTCAACACCTCCACTTAAATGTGTCATAAAGAACAAAAAACCAAATCCGTTGCCATCAAGTTGATTCCAACTCATAGTGACCCCACAGGACAGAGTAGAATTGCCTCATAGGATTTCGAAGGAGTGACTGGTGGATTCAAACTGCCGACCTTTTGGTTAGCAGCTGTAGCTGTTAACCACTGCACCACCAGGGCTCCAAATGTGTTATAGTCAGGATGAACACTTCAGTAAATAGTACCACCATTCTTGCTGTTGCTCAAGCCAAAAACTTCAGAGCTAGTCTCTTCCCTTTCTCTCACACCACAAATCCAGTTTATTAACCTATATCTAGAATTGACCACATCTCACCTCTTCATCCTCAACTGTGTGAGTCCAAAGAATCCTCTTGGACTATTGCAGTACCTCCTAAATGGCTCTCTGTTTCCACCCTAACCCTCCATAGTCTTCACAGAGCAACTAGAGTGATTCATTACCTACAATACCATTCATAATTTACCCCTGGCTACCTTTCCAACTTTGTTTCCCACCACCCTTTCTTCTGATTATTCCGGGTATATTGGTCTCCTTGTTATTCCTGGAACACACTGAACACAATCCCTTCTCCAAGGAAGATGAGAGCAGTATCAAATAACAAAAAAGAACCAAGTGAACATATTAGGTACGATAAAGGTATAAAGATAAAGAACATAGTTGATAAGATGAACAATAGGATAGACATAGCTTAAATTAGTGTATTAGTAGATAAGTTTGAGATGTTCTTGAGAAAAGAAAAAATATAAGAAATCAGAAAAAGATTGAAAGTGTAAAAGAAAAGCTGAGTGTTTGAAGGATATGAAGAGAGTGCCAACATCCAGGTAATAATGAGTCTTAGAAGAG